ATGGTAAAGTATCAAAAGGTCTAATAAGCAGCCCCCTTGCTCAGGAATAAAAATGATTTCAATGTGTTTCTCTTTCAAATTGCTTAGTAACTCCAAGCGATGTTCAAACTATGGGGGCTGATTACTGGCACTGAGTTCATCAAATTTAGATCTCTCTTGAATAGGGACATTATAGAAATCAAGAGCATCTCTAACCCTGCACATCTGGTGGAGTCTGGGTTAGGGACTACACGACCCAAGTCATCAGCTAAGTGTGCTAAGAGATTCAACTGCAGATGATGATCTTCCAGGGAGATGTCTTGCCAATCATCTCTAGGAAGAGTTGAACCAAAAACTTCTTTAAGATAAGATTCCAAATGACTCTGGATCTTCAGGTGGTGTGTATGCTCAGCTTCATAAGGGTGGACACACTGGGATAGTTTCCTTTTTCATTTCTTCTACTGTCTCAGCAACCACTGGGTCTTTCTCTTTTCTGGATCGAGACAAAATTCTCTATGTGGTGCCCGAGGCTACTTACATAAAGACTCTTCCGGTAATGCCGGATACAGATCGCACCACCATCTTCAATGAGATCCATGGGCTTTTTTTGTTTTCTTTTAGACAGAATCTCACTCTATTACCCAGGCTGGAGTGCAATGGCACAATCTCGGCTCACTGCAACCCCCGCCTCCTGGGTTCAAGGCATTCTCCTGCCTCAGTCTCTGAAGTAGCTAAGACTACAGGCATGCACCACCACCACATCTAGCTAATTTTTGTATTTTTAGTAGAGATGGGGTTTTGTCATGTTGCCCAGGCTGGACTCAAACTCCTGACCTTAAAGTCCTGATCTCCCAAAGTGCTGGAATTACAGGCATGAGCCACCACACCTGGCCAAAATTTTGCGTTTCTAACAAGCAAGGGCCTAGATTATTTCATTAGAGCTTTCTATTCTTTTATCAATTATTTGGTTATTCTGAGGTATAGCTTGAACATACAAGAAAGACATGATAAATGTTATTTGCTAACTTTCAGAATAATCTTCCAAAGGTGATCAATGAATTTTTAAAAAATCAGTTATGTGCTCAGAAACTTAAGTATAATTTATGTGTTTCAAGCCATTCAAGTTATTCTTTTTAAGGCTCAAATTGTCTCATATTTGGCTAGTGGGGCCCTGCTTTCTGGTTAGACAAGGTGTTTCAGGCTCATCTTGTACATTTCCTGCCTCAAATCTGGAATCAATCATTTCTCAACAGAGCCTGGGTTTCTGTGATTGGAAAATGATATTTAGAGACCACAGTCTGTATTTAAGAGGTGCTTATTGCTATGAGATAGATATTTTCTAGCTCTATCCATTGAGAAATAACAAGAGGTTTCTAGTCCTTTTCAATGGATAGAGCTAGAAAATATCTTTTTATTTTTTAAGAGAAAATGCATGAAGAATTCTGATAGTTTCAATTTACTCTGAGGGCTATAGGGCTTTAACTTAACTTCTTCTTTGTTTACTTTTTCGAGACAGAGTCTTACTCTGTTGTCCAGGCTGGAGTACAATGGCATGATCTTGACTCACTGCAAACTCTGTCTCCCTGGTTTAAGCGATTCTCATGCCCTCAGCCTCCTGAGTAGCTAGGATTACAGTCCTGCACCACCATGCCTGGCCGATTTTTGTATTTGTAGTAGAAACGGGCTTCACCATGTTGGCCAGGCTGGTCTCCAACTCCTGACCTCAAGTAATTCCCCTGCCTCGGTCTTGCAAAGTGCTGGGATTACAGGTGTGAGCCACTGAGCTTGGCCTAACTAAACTTCTTAGAGTTTTTTTCTCCTGAAACTCATGGCTTCTGATGATATAGATATATTTGCTTTTGTTGTTGTTGAGATAGGGTTTTGCTCTCTCACCCAAGCTGGGGTGCAGTGACATAATCATAGTTCACTGCAGCCTTTATGTCATGTCCTGGGCTCAAGTGACCTTCCTGCCTCAGCCTCCTGAGTAGCTCAGAATACAGGTGCATGCCACCACACCTGGCTTTTTTTTTGGTAGAGATGAGATCTTGCTGTGTTGCCCAAGTTAGTCTCAAACTCTTGAGCTCGAGCAATCCTCCTGCCTCACCCTCCCATTACAAGCATGAGCCACTGCACCCCATTATAGTTATTTATAGTAACATGATTATTGAAAGTTTATAATTTTCTTGGTATCTTTTTGTTCATAGGCTATATCCCCAAATAAGGACATACAGTCAAGTTACTGTGTTCTATTTATTATTATTATTATTTTTGAGACAGAGTCTCACTCCATTGCCCAGGCTGGAGTGCAATGGCATCACCTCAGCTCATTGCAATCTCTGCCTTCTGGGTTCAAGAGATTCTCCTGGCTCAGCCTCCCAAGTAGCTGGAATTACAGGTGCGCACCACCATGCCCAGCTAATTTCTGTATTTTTAGTAAAGACGGGGTTTCACCATGTTGGACAGGCTGGTCTCAAACTCCTGACCTCAGATGATCTGCCCACCTCAGCCTCCCAAAGTGCTGGAATTACAGGCATGAGCCACCATGCCCAGCAAGTTATTGTGTTCTTAATTTCACATCAGTTGAAATTATTCCTTTCTCGGCAGGGAGCGGTGGCTCATGCCTGTAATCCTAGGACTTTGGGAGGCCAAGGTGGGTGGATCACCTGAAGTCAGGAGTTCAAGACCAGCCTGGCCATCATGGTGAAACCCGTCTTAAAAAAAAAAAAAAAAAGAAATTATTCCTTTCTTTGTGGCTAATCTATGAACTAGAAATAAAATTCAGTATATTTCTTTGATTTTAGGGATTCATTTTTTACATTTTTAATTTTGTTTCATATTTATGTGGAACATTTACATGGTACCAAAATCTTCAAAACACAGTAATTCAGAGGAGTCTAGCTCCTACACCCATCCCTTCCATTCTGCCTCCTCCTCCTTATAAAGGTGAAAGGTGAACACTAGTTTCCCTTAGGGTTTATTGATTAATTGATCGAGGCAGAATCTCACTCTGTTGCCTAAGCTGGAGTATGATCACAGCTCACTGCCTCTACCTCCTGAGCTCAAATGTTGCTCCTACCTCACCTTCTCAAGTAGCTGGGACTGCAGGCATGTGGTACCACACCTGGCTAGTTTTGATTTTTTCTTTTCTTTCTTTTTTTTTTTTTGGTAAAGATGGGATCTCTCTATGTTGCCCTAGGCTAAAACTCCTGCCTCAGCCTCCCAAAATGTTGGGGTTACAGGCTTGAGGCCGTTACAGGCATGGGGCCCTGTACCTGGCCTTTTTTTTCCCTTAAAATTTTTTTTTTACCATCCTTGAATTTGGCTGAAACATCTCCATTTTTTATTCTCCTGTTAGAAAATATAAGAAAATATGTGTGTATATATACATACACATTTATGTTCATATATTCCCCTTTTCTAAGGTCATATTCATTATTGTTTACCTCATTTTTTTCTCTTAACAACATATTCTGGAGATTATAGCAGTTTACCTTTTTTTATACAGCTACATAGTACTCTATCATGTGATATCATAGTTTATCCACTAAGTCCCCTCTTGATAGATATTTGGATTGTGGTAGAGAGATCTGAGATAAAATAAATATGTTTGAAGGTCCTGTAGTTGGAAGGAGAGCCATGGTAGAAAACGAGGCTGCAGAGACAGGCATGAGTCAGTCTATGCAAAGACTTGCGGCCCTGTAAGGGTCTTATCACTGCTCTGCCAGGTATGGAAGGCTATGGAAGTGTATTGAGCAAGGCTGTGACATGATTAAATTTGCCTTTTGAAGAGATCACTTTTACTACAGCGCAGGATATGGATTACAAGAGAAAAGAGTGGGTATAAGAAGATAAACTAGAGGCTGGGTGCAGTGGCTTACACCTGTAATCCCAGCACTTTGGAGACCAAGGCAGGTGGATCACGAAGTCAAGAGATCGAGATCATCCTGGCCAACATGGTGAAATCCCATCTCTACTAAAAATACAAAAATTAGCTGAATGTGGTGGTGCACACCTGTAGTCCCAGCTACTTGAGAGGCTGAGCCAAGAGAATCACTCAAACCTGGGAGGCAGAGATTGCAGTGAGCTGAGATTGTGCCACTGAACTCCAGCCTGGCAACAGAGCAAGACTCTATCTCAAAAAA